GCGGGGCTGGCTGGCATGTGGTGCTGGGGGATCGAACTGCGGTCCCTGTGCTTTGCTAAGCTTGTTCTAAGTAGGTGCTTTAGACCACTGAGCCACCTCACCAGCCCCAAGCTCACTTAGCTATAACATGACCAAAAGTTCGATCCATATGAGAACTAACTTGAGACCATTACCTTATAAGCAGAATCATTATGAAGTTGAATATTTACCTAAAGAAAGAGTAACAGAGCACGTGATCTCTGTTGGGTTTCTGAACGTGGCCAGTATCCTGCAACATATTGCTACAGCAGTTAGAATACTAGAAAGTGATGATAGTCATAAAAATGTAAAGCTAATTCTGGTATATATTGTATATTATCTTGCCACCTGAACTTATTTTTATGTAATGATTTATCTTTTCCTACTCAAAACTAAACATTAACATATAACACATCTATGTACGATTACAAAACTTGGTTATGAAAATTTACTTTTAACAGCTACTAATATATTAGACAAACTCTTTTGTTCTCTTATTTGTACTGGAAATTGAACTAAGAACCTTATGCTTGCCAGGCAGGCACTGTGCCACTGAGCTATATCCCCAGGCCTGAACTTTTGATAAGTTGGGGGTTTTTATTCTTTATATAAATAGTATTTTTGCAGCAACAAAAATATTTCTTTGAAGCTTTTCTTCCTAAATAGGGATTCCATAATTTTTTAATATTGATTGATTGATTGATTGATTGATTGATTGATTTTGTGGATGGCTCCACCCACCCTGGAGGCGGGGGTGGCGCAGCAGGTGGTGCCAGGGATCCAACTGTGGACACTGCACACTGGCCTAAGCTTGCCTAAGCAGGTGCTTTAGACTGCTGGGCTATCTCTCAGGCTCAGGATTCCATTTTAGTGGATTTAAATTACGAAGCCTCAGACATCACAACTAGATTAGCATGATGCTCTCCGACTTGGGAAAACTGCCTAATTAATAAACTGCTGCGGGGGGGGGGACTACCTGCTCGAGGCCCCCTTCCTGTCCCTCTCTCAGACTGGAGCTTTCTTTCCCTCAATAACTATATTCTGCTCATACAAAAATAAAATGAAATAAAGTGCTGTAGTAGTTTAGATTTGAATTCATATGTAAAGTTAAAAGTATAAATGTGAAATACTCACTAACCAAAGTGGACTCACTAATCAAAAGGTGGACTGTAAATCTTCATTGCTAGCATTAATCTAGTTTTCTATATTGGATCAATATGTTTGTGTAGGGCCAGGGAGGTAGTTTAGTGGTCTGAGTACCTGTCTGGGAAGCGCAAGGACCCAGGTTTGATCCCTGGTACCACATGCTGTGCCAGCCCCACACTGAGCTGGTCACCAAAACCAGGCACAGTGGCACATGCCTGTAATCCCAGCGCCGGGGAGGCTGAGACCCGAGGGTCACTATGAGTCTGATCTGTGTAGTGAGATCCTGTAGACCCTGCACTAAATACATTAAAAGAAAAAAGAATGGATGTAACCAATTTTGACATTATGCTACAGAAAAATAAGCAGGGAAAAATGAGCCAAAGAATAATAGTATATTCTATTTTTAACTTTTGGTAAACCATGTTTTGTGGATAACTTCAGTTTTACCAGAAAACTGATATATTTCAGTATTTTGAAAACATAAGTATTAATTTTGAGTGGCAGAGGTAACCTAACCAATTCTCATTATGTTTGATACTAAGATATATACCTGCTGGGCATGGTATCACACACTTGTAATCCCAGCACTCAGAAGGCTGAGGCAGGAGGATCACCACATGTTTAAGGTCAACCTGAGCTATATAGTGAAGTCCATGGAGAGTCTCTCCTCTCTCTCTCTCTCTCTCTCTCTCTCTCTCTCTCTCTCTCTCTCTCTCTC